TATCGCTATTGCTTATTCTGTTAGGTTAGGGCTTATTCTAAGGCCTGGTTTATGCGGGCAATAACTGTTAACTTATGCCGGAACCGGTAGAGTTTAACTATAGGATTCCAATACTTCTGTTTATACGCATTCGGCAATTTCGTATAAACAAAAGTATTAAAATCATATAGTTAAACTTTACCGGTTCCGGCATAAGTTAACAGTTATTGCTCGCATAAACCAGGCCTAAGTGCTCTTTCTCATTCAATTACAATTCGCGCACTTTTCTTGGCAGCAAAATCTACCCGCCGGCACCCTGTGTTACAAGGGCTGCGTTCATAAAGTTTACTCCAAGGAGAGTCAGAGTAGAGTTGGGTTGGAGGAGGAGTTAGCTCTATGAGCATACAATTTTGTCTGACTTTGTGAACGATTGGAGTAACAGTTGATCACAGTAATGGCAGTTGTTTATTAGTTATACCTCTAACTGGAAAAAGTTCTCACAAACTTAATTTTCAGGAAGTACTTTATAACAGAATTATGACAGAAAATGTGAAAAAAGTAATATATTTTTCTGTGTTTTCTTTTGCAAAAAACTTAATGCTGAATATTGAGGTATTGTAATATATAATGTAATATATAATGTTTTATATTATATCACAGTTTTTTTTTACAAGCACAAAATTTAAACAAGACATTATTATTAACAAGAACATTTTATTTAAAATGTTTACAAGTTTTTATTAAAAATATCGTAACATATTTGAAAGCAGTGATCATATTTATATTCTAAATATGCAATTTTAGGAAGAATCAGACAATGAAGAAGACTATGCAATGTTATTAATTGAGACACAGTTAAAAGAGAAGCCTAATCGTATTGTTGGTTACATAGAACACGTTGTAGACAACTATAGTAGTACGGAATTTCAACAACATTTCAGATTGTCTTTTGAAGCCTTTGATTATTTACTAGAACAAGTTGGTCCGTTATTAAACTCTGCTGGAAATGAAAATAAACAAACTGGTCGTCCGCTAATAGATCCACGAAAACAGTTACTTTCAGTAATTTGGATATTGGCTACACCTGATTCATACAGGTATTCATATTCTTACTACAAATCAAATCTAAGTATAAAAGTATATGAATTGTCATGTCTTAATAATTTTTTTAGGTCCGTTGGTGAAAAATTTGACATGGCAAAGTCATCGCTATCAACATGTTTTGTGCGAGTAATTAATGCTCTTTGTATAATTGCACCTAAAATAATAAAATGGCCACAAAGATCAGAAATCGACGCAAATATTGATAAATTTAAAGAAATCTGTAATATTCCTAATGTTATTGGTGTAATTGACGGAACATACATTCCAATCAAAGCTCCAAAAGTCGATGCAGAAGCTTATATAAACCGAAAATGCTTCTACGCTATTACACTGCAAGGAATATGTGATGCATCAATGAAATTTGTTGATTGCTTTGCAGGATACCCAAGTTCTGTAAGCGATGTGAGAATTTTTAGGAACTCAGACATATATATTGATATAATGTCTAATACCAAACGCTACTTTCCCGGAGATGAATTTTTATTGGGAGATAAGGCTTATCCTGTATTAAAATGGCTAATTCCGCCTTATATTGATAGAGGAAATTTAAACGCCGTTAACAGACGATTTAATGAAACTGTATCAAAAGGTAGACAGGTTATCGAAAGAGCATTTGCTCTCTTAAAAGGACGATTTAGAAGGCTTAAATATTTAGATATGAAT